CAAATGACCGCCCACACCTTCCCTTGTGTCATGGTGTAGGATTCTAGTAGGGGGATAGGGTTGTCATGAGTTTCAACATCAAGAAGCGCAACTTTCTTCTGGCCAGTGTATATTATAATAGGTGTTCGCCATCCGTGTATGCATTCATTTACATTTACCTCTTTCGCATTCATCATTCCCAGACTCATTCCACGTATATCAATGAATTGGTTTTTGTGAAAAGTTAAAGGAAACCCCTTGGTCTTCACCCGCAAAACGATGGGGATTCCTCTAGATGTTCCATTAAAATCACTGGCCTGACTTGTGTATGGCCTGGCACTCTATGGCTGACCGAAGAGCGTCGCGTGCCCCGGGCACCACCGAGGCTGTCAGGGCGGCCGCGGCTTCCGCTCGCCGGCGACGAGCCGCGATGCGGAGCCACCGCTGGGGGAACCCGGTGAGTCGCGTGGTGGGCGGAGCTCTCCCCGTGCAACACAGGTGGAGTAGGAGTATGAGTGGGGAGTAATGAGTATCTACATTGGTGGAGTAGGAGTGGGTCCCACAAAAAATGGCGGAGCACATGGCGACCCCAGTGACATCTAACTAACGTAATTTGTCCATCTCTGACACCAGTCACCATGCGCATGTTTTTCGCTGGACGGTTGTTTGGCCAGCTTCCGCAATCAGTTGCATGCAGCCGACAAGGGAACAGTCTTTGCTTCGATCCTATCGCCTAGCAAGTTACTGGGCATGTTGGGGGGTCCTTAGTTTTGAAGCACTCCCCTGTTTGGGAAACACAATGAAACAACTCAATCCTTGCAGAGCAAGGATTGAGTGCAAAGTGAACATAGTTTTGTGAAGTAGAGACTGTCACTGTCGCAGATTGCCCAATCGCTGCTTGAATCGCTCCAATTCAAGTGGCTTCAATGATGCCTGGAACTCTTTGGGGGATGACACCGACACCTTCTCGTTGCAGGGGCGCGTTGGTAGGCAACAAACCGAATGAGACCTTCCCGAAAGAGACCTCTGGACGTGTTAAACTGTTACATGGTCGGAAGCAAAAGATTTCAGATGCTCCAGAATGAAATCAGAATCTGGAATATATGTCCCAAACACTCCATGGGACTCCCATAGATGCCGACATTGAACCCCCAAAACCACCCCAACTGATCGGCATGGCACACATGGAGTGTTTGGGTTTGGAAGTCTGGTGATCCGGAATTGAAGGATTCGGCTGCAGATCTCTTGTAGCATTCAGATTCGTGCTACCTTTGGGCCTGCGTTGGGTCTTGGTCGCGCTTGGTCTTGGACTCAGGTCGTCCGTCGCGCAGCCCTGCGTGGCCCCCGCGCCAGGTCGGGCTACGTCTTCTATGTGGATGGAGATGACCGGTGGGCCTTCTGGGTGGGCGATGGCCACTACTGGAGCGGCGTGCAAGGTGCCGGGTCGTTGGGGCGCTCATCGCGGTGAGATGGGGTGTGCTTTGCGCGATGGGGATAAGAGGAGAAGGCCACCCCAAATTCCAAGACTTAAAAGCTGTGTCTATGGTATTCGAACCCCCCCAAGGACCGCTGCTTTTGCTATGCATTCGAAGACCGTTTTGACATTATGTTTAGAATCCTTGTTGGAGAGTGTAAAGCCAATGGAAAACCGGATTGAACACAACCAAAGGTTCCTCAACTGCTGTACACTGCTGTGCTCTCAAGTTGTACGTAGCTTATTGCTGCAGAATGCTGCCCGCCATTTTTCTGGGGTGAACAAGCCAATGAAAAAGGATGAGTGTTGTAGCGATGAATCATTTGTGTTCCCAAGTTCCCATAGCTGCGCCGCTGCTTCATGGAATAGCGTCACCCACGATCCTCAAATGTCCTCAAGACCGAGTTCAGAACATCTCACACGCCCAGAACCTCCACGACCCACCGGCCCGCGCGAGTCGTTGGATCGGTTGGACCGTGTCCGCGCGGAGCCCGGAAGGCCCTCCGATGGAGCCTCGCATGACGCAGCTGCAAGGCATGTACGACGCGCAGCTGCGCACGGTGCCTCGATCGGCAGAACATCGATTGCGATTGGCAGCGCAGCAGAAAACCGCCCCGATTCGGTGCGTGCGTGACGTGGATTCCCTTGCGAACTAAGTGCCTGTGCAACCACAGTAGATGATTCTGAACATATATTGATTCCTCGCAGACTCCTCACGCTGGCTGCAGGGATTTGCAGGGCCATTGAATCCATTGAACTCTCAAATCAATTTTGCATTACGATTTGATGATTTCTTGTAGTAAGGCCAGGAGCTACCAGTAGCGTCTTGCTCCTAGTAGCGGTGCCCTTTGTTCCTAGTATAGCTTCTTGTTACTAGTAGTAAGGCCAGGAGCTAATGGTTTAACGATTTCTCGCAACAAGTCTCACAACCTTCGGACACAAAATCAGAGGCCGGCCTTTCTCAGTTGGTAAAGAAATATCAGCGCCGCAGCGCCTCGGGGATGATGGCTACGGTTTCACCATTGGTTTTTCAGCTGATGTGGGCACTGGCCTGGCTGCTGGCGCTGCTTCGTGCCCTAGGTCAGCTTCTTCGTGGATGGTCAATGTGTGGGTCAAAGACATGGAGTTGACTTCGTGCCCAACGAAAAGCAGCCGCTCAGGACTGGCATCCGGCATGGACGATGGCGTGATTTTCTTATTTGTTACGCAGAATCAGATGGAAAAGCACCGTGAAGAATGGATTCAGAGTCATTGTAATCAATCCCGTGGAGCCCAAAACCACCGAAATGAAAGAGCATGTTCCTGGCTCCACGGGATTGGACAACACCCGGCCATGTCCCAGGCATCCCTATTGGATGTTGTGTTTTGAAGTCAACAGCGTGTACCGTGGTTCGGCACAGTCCCTGCTTGGTCTCCGCCGTGGAAGCTGAAGTTCATCGCCTCTTTGGTCTCTCGGGTTCAGCGGTCATCCCTCCACTTCCAGGTAGTGTAGCTTGGGGACCTGGGAGTTTGGCAGCCCACGAAACCAACCAGTTGGAGCCACTGCTCGCGGTGTGCTTCGTCATGTTCCCTCTCTTGACAGCGAACAAAACCATGCGCGTAGGATCGGTGCTGGGAGGTCAAGGCCTCAGACAAATCGTTGTGGTGGAGAAAGAGGAAG